GCGAAAAGTATGCGATGTCGCCGACGACATACTTGACCCCAGAGAGTTAAGTTCAAGATTTAGTCACTAATCTGAGATCTACTGAGACAGATATTTGGCAAAGAAGTGAGATGTACAGACAGACATGGGGCAAGTATCACAAAATTGGGCTGCTTGTTTAGTTTGAAATCCAGTTTCGTTATTCAGGCCCCAGAGATGTGACACGGGCAGAAATTGCTTTGTGGTCTGCTACTGTCCTCATGTCCGGCCACTTGGTGCCCCTCCGCATACAACCATCCATCGTATTTNATCCATCGTATTTCTACTGTCCTCATGTCCGGCCACATGGTGCCCCTCCGCATACAACCATCCATCGTATTTCTACTGTCCTCATGTCCGGCCACTTGGTGACCCTCCGCATACAACCATCCATCGTATTTCTACTGTCCTCATGTCCGGCCACATGGTGCCCCTCCGCATACAACCATCCATTGTATTTCTACTGTCCTCATGCCGGGCCATATGGTGCCCCTCCGCATACCATCATCCATTGTATTTCTACTGTCCTTATTATTATTATTATTATTATTATTATTATTTCTATAAATGCATATAATTGGATTAGTGATTGGCCACTGGCATCACTGTTTTTATTTAATTCATTTTGTTTGGCGTAAGTTACTAATTTTTCGAGTCGCATTCCTCTCACACTATTTTTCCCATTTGATGTGTGTATTTCAGCATGCGATTTTAGTGGACACAAGGTTTTTAAGGAATGTATTAGTCTATTTTTTCTTACAATTTCCTCCCACAAGCTGAAACAGAAGTTAAAACACATTTATAATTTATTTTAAATTGTATAGCATGACACATTTCCTGAAACATGAACCTGAACATCTTGATATAGAGTGTTAACAGTGGTTAACACTGTAAAATGTTGCTAATTTGTTGGTTTCATAACAAAAGTCCATTGACAAGCTATGTTTAACATATCTGCATATATCTTCCGCACACCTTTTTTTTTTGACTGTCTCATTAAGTTCTGTAGTCTAATATCTTGTAGTCATCTTGTTGGAGAATATTAACACATTCTGTATTTTCTTTACAGGAACACTTGAAGAGCTGGTGTCTCACTTGGGAATGATGGATTACCTGAGGGGAAAAAAATTAAGCCTGTCTGCTATTCTAGAGATAAATGAGAAAAACATAAGCCGAACAGAAGAACCCATTCAGTCCCTGAGTTCAGTATGTTGGTGGTTTCTACAAAAAATATTTAGGGTGAATGTAACGGCAAGAGATGTTAGTTGCACCGATAATACAGCCAAGAAAGGAAACTCAGCTCAGGACTTTGACGAGGATTTCAATGAATTATGGGAGGCTGAAGCAAGTGATGATAACATCAACCCTCTTGACCTGATTACCGCTCTGTTCCTGTGCTCAGACGGCCTCCTTCAGCAGGAGATGGCTTTAAAAATGTCAGTGTGCCAGTTTTCGGTTCCACTGCTTCTTCCCAACTGTGATACTCAGCAGTGCACGTTGATGCTGTGGGCCTTGAGGGACATTGTAAAGAGCTACAGACCACATTCCCTGCTGGAGTCCAGAGGATTTGAAGAAAACAGCATTGTGCTCCTGGACCTTCCTATGATCTCTTTTGTTAGACTTGGAAAAATCAGCATGTCTAAGTCTCATATTCTAAACCAAGTGTTTAGCAATCCACAGCAGTACCATGACACATTTGTTCACCGCAACATGAAGAATGGCAACATCTCTCGCAAGGTTTCTAATGGGATGGTGGAAATCAGCTGGTATGTGCCTGGTGGAAATAGTGACATCTTTACTGAGCCTCTGGCTGTAGCTAATCTTCGGGGTGACATCAGTTGTCATCATACTGGCTTCAAATTCCTCTGCCAAACATCAGCAGCTGTCTTTGTGTTCATTGATGACTTCAAGGAGAACATCAACTTACTGAAACCTCAAGACTCAAAGGCTCCTTTATTCCTAGTCTGCAATTCAGAGGAAATTAGTATTACTAAGAATGACTTCATGAACCGCATTCATGACATGAAATTTAATACTAATTTCATTGTCATGAAAGCGAAGCAGATGAATGAGGCTCAATTTGTTGACAAACTTCGGTCAACTATCAGACAGTCTGTTTCAAGTGACTGTGACAAAATGAGCATTGAGAAGATGTCTGCTGTTGCACGTGAGCTTCAGATCCTTGTGGATGAAGACAATGACCTTTGTCAGAAAGCAAATCAGAAAGCTGATGCTATTACAGCTAGTATCTCTGACATTCCTAAGTACAAGCAGGACCAGCTACCATTACAGGAGGATATCTTAAAGAAACTGGCTAAACTGGAGAAAGAGGAGTGCAGGCTAAAGAATGCAGGAACAAAAAACATTCAGATGTACAGGAGTGAACTGAATAAAAATAAACAAGAACTCAGGAAACAGCAGGTCACCAAAGACATTACACCTGCTGTAAAGAGTTTCATCTCTGGTTTATCAGCCTGCAAAGAGGAACGTGCCTATTTCCTCAAGTGGATGAGGATCAATCTGGATAACCTTTCAAAGAAGCATGTGTTAATCCTCAAAGAGGAGTACAAGACTGTATGTAAGAAGGATGTAGAAAACAAGGAACTTATACTGGACTTGGAAAACCAGATGTCCTGTAGCTCCTTGGGCATAGAACATTTCCTGAGGGAACTGGGACAGCTCTATGAGTCTGCCATCTCCATACCAGAACATCCACACTCAAAACAGAAGATGCAAATGATCAAGGATCTACCTAAAGTCTGTGCTGAAATGATGCTGGAAGGATTTCCGTTAGAGCTGGTGGATGGAGATGCTTCTTATGTACCTCTGAAGTGGGTATCTGCTGTGCTGAATGAACTCCATTCTATGGAACAGGACTTGAAGATCCGAGTCATCACTGTACTGGGAGTTCAAAGCACTGGGAAATCCACTCTTCTCAATACCATGTTTGGGGTGCAGTTTGCTGTCAGCAGTGGACGGTGCACTAGAGGTGCTTTCATGCTGCTTGTCCGCGTAAATGAGGATTTTAGAGAACAGCTTGGCTGTGACTTCATCATGGTCATTGACACAGAAGGGCTGAGGTCAGCAGAACTGGCCCAGTTGGCTGACAGTTATGAGCATGATAATGAATTAGCTACACTACTGGTTGGACTTAGTGACCTCACAATTATAAATATTCCCATGGAAAACTCCACAGAAATGCAGGACATCCTACAGATTGTAATCCATGCCTTTCTCCGAATGAAAGAAGTCGACAAAAAAACCCACTGCCTGTTTGTTCACCAGAATGTGGCTGATGTCGCTGCCCATGATAAGAACATGAGAGACAGGAAGATTCTTCTGGACCAACTCAACACCATTACTCAAGCTGCAGCCAAAATGGAGAAGGGTGAGGATAAGAAATTTACAGACATCATCGAATACTCTGACAAGGACAATTTCTACATCCCCTCCCTCTGGCAAGGCTCCCCCCCCATGGCCCCAGTCAGTGCAGACTACAGTGAAGCAGTGGTGCAGATTAAAAAATCTATAATGGACACAATGATAGATCTAAAGGAAAAAAGACCTTCACAGACAGTGATGGGGTTTCATGAATGGACCACCAGCTTATGGCAGGCAGTGAAATATGAGAATTTAATTTTCAGTTTCCGCAATAGCATTGTAGCTGAAGCTTACAGTAAGCTGTGTGAGCAGTACAATAAGTGGGACTGGGACTTTCGGAGAACAATGCGTGAGTGGATGGTAAAAGCAGAAAATAAAGTGTTAAACTTTGGTACAATGACCCAGAAGTCACAGCCAGCTGAGAACATTGAGAACTTTCTGATGAAGCAGAAAAAGGAGGCCACTGATGAATTAGTCAGAGCTGAACAGCAATTGAATGACAACCTGGCTAAATATTTTGAAAAGCCAGAGAAGCATGTTTACCTGGTGGAGAGATACAAGCAAGACTTTTTAAACAGTATCAAAAGCCTGAGGCAGGAAACGGAGAACAAAATGATGAGAAGGTTAGAAGAACTTCAGAGCATTAAAAAGGGGAGGAATAAGCTGGAGAAGATTAAGGAAAATCAAGCTAAAATGATGAAAGAGAAAGTGTCTGAGTTACTTAAAAAATTTAGGAAATCCAAAAACACATTTTCAGATGATCAACTGGATAAAAAGTTTGAACAGATGTGGAATGATGTTGTAAATGAGCTGCCATTCAGAAGCATAGAGGAACAGAATGTTAGTCAAGACATTTACCTCATGTTACATAAAGACCTGGAGAACAGGGGCAGCTTGGCAATGGAGATTCTGTCAAAAGTCAGGAGTTTGGAGGATTGTGGGAGAAAGGCTTTTGTTGTGGAAGAAACTCTTCTTAAAAAAATTCTGCGGACAATCAAAATAATCCGGTCACAAAAAAAACAGAGAATATCAGAAAACTTAATTGTAAAATGCTGCAGTTTTATTAACAGTAAGGTTTTCCAGGCACCTCAAATGGATTATGACAGCACCTATGTCAGGGAAATGTTGATTATGATCAATGACTGTGTTGATCATGAGGAGGATCTGTCTAAAAATGTAGAGTTGCAAACCAATTTAAAGATACACATATGTGGGATTGCAGCAAGGGAATTTATACAAATGCACAAGGACTTTATCCAGAACAATGATCTACTTCTGTGCCTGGAGAAAGATAAAGACCAGTACTGTGAAGACTAAGGATCTCTATCATGAGAGAGATCAGACTCAGAGAAAAGCAGAGGAATTCACCAAGAAAGGTGTTGACCTGGAACCTTCAGTCAGGAAGTACATCACCGACTACCTGGGCTCAGATATTCTGGAGAAAATGAAGTCCAGAGATAGATCACTGAAATTCAGCACCCGCACCTTTTTCCAGTACTCCATTCTCCAACAGCTGCGTGAAGATCCATCAATGAGAAATTTCTAAAGTTTATTACAAATCATGAAAAAATTGCCAAGGATTGGATTGTTGCCGAAATAAAAACTACCTTCTCAGAAAAATACTGTGGATTATCAACTTTGCAGATTAAGTGCTTAGAAGAAATTGTGTGGAATATAAAAACAACTATTCAGGAAGAAATGAAGAAAGGGAACATGAGGGAGCAAAATGTTCATCATTTCATTGATAACATCCACAAGCATTTGGATGACAAACTCATTATTTCCCCTGATGCTTTGAATATAGTCCAGACCTTGAACAATGCCACGATAGAGCCATTTGCCAATTGGCTAAAATTATATGTAGTTGATATGAAGCAGTTCCTGATTTCAGAGTTCCAGAAGGATGAGGACATTAGTGCCAAACTTGAGAAGTTGCCCCTCAAACCCCAGGATGAGCTCTTCAGCAGGGTGTTTGGCTGTGGGGAGATGTGTCCATTCTGTAGGGTCCCATGTGAAGCTGGAGGTGATAAACATGAAACTCACCATGCCTCAATTCATCGCCCTGAAGGAATCGGACAATACAGATGGGAAACTACTGATATCTTATGTACAGAAATTTGTTCATATTTAGTTGCTAGTGAAGTAAAATTCAAGAATAGCAAAACTAATGGAGAGTGGGTTCCCTATAAGGAGTATAGGAGCATTTACCCTGAGTGGCACATACAGGCTGACACCAGCATCAAGGCCTCAGACTATTGGAAGTACGTCTTTGCACAGTTCAATGATCGGTTTGCAGAGGAATATTGTGCAAAGCCAGCAGAGCTACCGTCAGACTGGCTTCTGTTGGAAAAAGAAGATGCAATGAAATGCTTGGATAAAGAATTCAAGTTCACTTCTTAAAGTGGTCAGTGAGAGAAAAATGGGGAAGAGAGTGTGTCAGCTGAAATTACTCAGATTCACTGTCAAAGAGATTTTTTTATTTTAGGTATGAATTTTTGGATTTTCAGAACATTAGCTTATCCATAATTTTTCAAAATTAGCAACTGCGACAGGGACAATGCTTAGACCTGGAATGTGATGATATTTAAATTACAGGAAGAGCTGCTTGCTTAGAAAACTATATTATAAATTCATTATACATTAGTAGTCACCTTTTTTTTTTTAATCTCATGAGTGTTTATAGTGTGCTTATTTTATACTTATTTTATATACACTACCAGTCAAGAGTTTTGGCACACATTGAAATATTCTATATTTGCATGTTACTCACTTAAAATTCACTCAATATTATTTAGTAACAAATAAATTTACATACTCTGTCCATGTTATAAAGGAAACTTTTTAATTGACTCATTTTCATTTATAGTTGTTCATTCAACTTTCCAATGCTTAACAAGAATAAAAAAAATCTTCAGTTTATGAAATAAATGGAAAAGTGGTAAGAAACCTCTATTGTGCAAAAACTTTGACTGGTAGTGTGTAACACAAAAGGAACTTTTCTGAAATCTCTGAGGATCAGGTTACTGTGATCCATTCTTCTGGGTCCCCTGCTTAGATAACCATGTATGTTGACTATTTCTATCCAGTTCTGTAAGCTAACTAATAAAAAAAAATCTGCTTTTCAGTGTGATGTTTAAATCAATATGAAACTGAAATAGAACTTTGAGAAAACGATTTTGGTTTTAGCAGTGAGTATATTTATGTATAAAATTATCGAAGTATAAAATTCGAGTGAGCCTCAATGTGTCAGGGCTACTATACACCATTATATTATATATATATTATATACATATATTCAGCTGTGGGAAAATTACGAGGTAACACATTTTTTAAAAATCTGCATTTTTAAATTTTAAATTCTTTCAGGCTCAAAATATATAAGACAGCAGGACACAAGAATAAGGTAACCAGCAGACACTGGGAACAACCAGAAACCAGCCAGGTACCTCATGAATCGGAGGATGACCTCAAGTGACCTTCAAAAGGAATGGGCAACATTAAGTGCTGGTGTGAGGTGCACTGCTAGGACAGTTCATGTCAGGCTTCTAGAAACAGGACTGAAGTCCCATAAAGTAAGGAAGAAGCCCTTCATCAATGAGAAACAGGAGAACCAGGCTGCAGTTTGCAAAAATATATACTATTCACATACACACCCATACATTAAGAAATGAGTGAAAACAAAAAATTGTGCTATGGTGCCTTAATTTTTTGCACAGCTGTATATGCACTCATACATACATACATACATACATAAACTCACCTAAAGGATTATTAGGAACACCATACTAATACGGTGTTTGACCCCCTTTCGCCTTCAGAACTGCCTTAATTCTAGTTGTGGCTTCACAAATGCTTTGCTGCATACCTCGGTTGTAACGAATGGTTATTTCAGTCAAAGTTGCTCTTCTATCAGCTTGAATCAGTCGGCCCATTCTCCTCTGACCTCTAGCATCAACAAGGCATTTTCGCCCACAGGACTGCCGCATACTGGATGTTTTTCCCTTTGCACACCATTAGCTCAAATAAATCCTTATCTGAAGGTGTGGTACCTTCTGATTGGAAGCATGCCAACATAACGC